GTAGGTTTCGTTGTAGAGGAGTTTCACTGTACCGGAAAAGGTGATGACTGATTTGAATTGTGGGTTTCAAGCGTTAAATGACACCGGTCAACACATTTCCAAATGTGCACAGTTTTCATCGGAAGATAAATAAGTCTTTGTTTTGGGGGTGAAGCTCCCGCGTCTCACCTTGGAAGGCGTTACAGATGGCGAAGAGGTACATGAAGGGCAGGTTGACGGGCCCCCAGGCGAAAAAGGCAAAGCCCCAGGTGAGGCCCAGCAGGATGGTCACGCCCACCACGCTGCGCACGTCCTGGCCGGTGGAGCGGTGCTGCGAGTTGTGCGGGTTCTGCCGCTTGATCTTCTGCAGCTGGACCAGCACCACCACCAACACGATCAAGTTGAACAGGAAGACGACGCAGAAGTAGGCCACCACCGCCACGTAGAAGGCGATGTCGTTTTTTAGCCAGCAGCTGTCGGAGACGGGAACGGATTTTTTGGACTAAAGGCCATGATGTATGAGGGGATATTTGAGACGGCGGGTAAAGGACTCACAAGTCGTCACTTGTGCCGTCAGAAAACCTCCCGTACGACACCAGTCCGTAGTTGTCCTTGTCGACGGCGATGACGATAACGACCACGATGACGGGCGCCCCCCAGCCTGCCAGCGAGAACCAGACGATGTAGCGCGGGACGTGCATGTTGAACACCTTGACGAGGGCCAGGTACATGTGCACGCCCTGCAGGCCCATCCAGGTGAAGGCGGCCAGCAGGAAGTAGTGCAGGAACCAAGCGGTGGAGATGCAGAGGCCCACGGCGTCCGGGTACAGAGCCAGCCAAGCGTCCACCAGGAAGACCAGGTTGAGGAGCAGCAGAGCCACGCACAGCTGGATCAGGATTTTGGAAGGCATGTCCTTACGCAGTTTGCTGCAACGGTTTCACACAAAAGCGGTCCATTCGCCAGCTGTTCGACTTGAGCGCAACCGATGTGTTTGGCTCCGTGCGCTCGGCTTGCCCTGGCCAACGAATCGGAGGATGGAAAAATTCAAATGCTATTTTGAGATGGCTCGCGGCCCGCTGAGGCGAATCAGTCATCCGACTGGTCTGAGAAA